CGGGCCCGGCTGGAGGGAGCACCGCTGCCGTCTCAGAGGGGCCCCCTGGGCTCCAGGGGAATCGGTGCCGGCCCTGGGTGGCCGTTCCGCTGCGCCAACCGCCATCCTCCCCCCGGCTGCTGGGCCCTGCTCTGACCCACTCTGCAGAGGCGGTAGCTGCAGCCTTGGGCTTCTGCGGCTTATCCCTCCGGTGCGGCCTTGTGCTCTGACCTCTTCAGGGGAAAGCTGTAAGCCTAGGGAGGGCCAACTGCAAAATCTGACGCTTGGTACTGTTGGGCTTTTGTCTGTACCACAGTGTGATTCGTAATTAAAGGTCATCAGGCCCAGACCGGGCCTCTGACCACTCGCCGCCAGTTTCTCATGTTAAACAGTTCTGCAAAATTGCCTTCTGGTGAAAAGGAGATCACTTCCAACCTGCAGAGACAATCCACTCTTTTATATGCCATGTAAGACATATATCAGCTCTTTGTGTGTACATCAGCTTGAATACATGAGATATTTCAATCAAAGTATAGTTATGTATGTTACCTGTCAGTTTACCTTTTAAAAACCACTCCTAAGCTATTTCATTCTCTAATTTCTTCAATAGAGCTGTATATTTTATTATTATTATTGTGATGCAATTAGACTTTATGGAAATCCTTTTATGAACAAACTCAAGTTTTCTTACACCCATGACAGCTTCTGTTCAAGTCTGTGGGAATTTTGCCTTTGAAAGGAAGGGGGAATGTATCTGGCTCAGAAAATAAATATTGTGGCAGAGCAGCAGCTGAAGCTTTTGTTATATTGTATCCTGTATGTAATATACAAAACTTTAAAATACAGCCATAGAGATTATTCCAGTTGAACACAGACTACCCTAATCAGTTACAATCACCCATCTATGTGTGTAGAGATAAAAATGCAAAAGTATTGTTTTACACATTAGGAAGGTACAGCAAAGGCAAATTAGATTATTAAAATCTATTGTAAAGCCCCACAAATGTCTAATTGCTTAAACTGGCACTTAGATGCAGGTCACTGAATTAGGCAGTTCTAATTCTTTGATCTCGTGATAAAAATGAAAACAAATATGTTTCTCAAACAGCCTCCAGGGTTTTAGAATAAAATCAATCCAAATTCAGTGCAAGTGAAGCTCAATTTAATGTATCCTTTGGGTCACCACAGCAGCTCCCAAAGCCTCACAGCTGGCAATTTATAGGTTTAATTCATTGACAGACGTCATACGAGATCAGATTTTTTTAACCCTGGGGCAAAGGAATACCTTACTGAGTTGGCTGCTCCAGGCCAAATTCCACCAATTAGCCTCTGTGGAATCTTATATCAATCTATCTTTTCAAAATGCATGTTGCAAGACAATTTTCTGAGCAAGTGTTTTTAAACTAATTGTCCTTGTAACTGGGATGTCAATAACATTTTAAAAGATACATAGCCACCGTGGTAGCGCAGTAAGTAAAGTTGGACACGGCTCTTTGCGAGGTGTTGTTTGGAAGTCAACTGCTTGATGGTGTAAAGTCCAGTTACTCTAGAGAAAATTTATCACTGATGTATCTGCGTATTGGAAAGTTTCATCATGTGCATTTTCAAATCTAGCTGATCTTTTGTAATGAGTGAAATTCCACAAAGAGGTTATGTAAGCAGGAAGCAGTCCTTATCAGTGGCCCAACTTTGTTTTACAGACAGATTAAAGAATTTTCAAAAGATCAAGAAGATGGTAAAAGGTTACAAGGAAGTCCTAAGAGCAGGACTAGTTCCCAAAACATTTTTTTTTTTTTCTCAGACAAGCCTGTGAATTCAGGTTTTGAAGATCCTTAGAAGTAGGAAGCAAAGTAATGTGGTGAGTGAAAGTATTTTCATAGGAAGATTTCAAGGTAGAGAGAATAACTAAAGAAAGGAGAGCTATTTTACAAAGAGAGAAGGGCCCAACAAACAAAGCTGCTAAACATGACTGTATTTCCTCCTCAGCCCCTGGGCTGCTGAGTAAATTCAAGAAACATGAAGGACCACCAATCACAGTAGCATTGTATATGCAGCTAGTGAAACCCAATGGTCTACCAGCCAGCTCTTTCCACCGGCTGACGCCGACCAGACGTATTCTGCCTGCAGCGGTAGATGGCAGCCGTGTTCCACGTGAAAACTCAGACCCACAGTTCTAGAAAAGAATTCCCCGACTACACTGCCATTATTTTTTTCCTATCCCAACAGCACTTCAATGAATAAATAAATAAAAAAAAAAAAAAGTTGCTTAGTATGTAACTTTTAGGCTATATTTATGCTGCAGTCACTTCTCTGAGCTCAGCTCGCAATCATACCCCTCGTTGGCATTGGAATAGTTAGTTGAGAGGCTTACAGCAATACCTCCGCTTCCAGTTCACCATCCTTTCACAGTCCAGTGAGCTCTGTTCTGTTCTAACCGCACGTCCCTCATTTCCTCAGCTTGCTGGCCGACAGCTAGCTTAGGTGTGAACTGGGCTGGTAACCATCACTGCTGTATACACAAATCCCCCAAAAAATCTTACTGGTCAGCACAAACAGTTATTGGGAGGGCTCAAGTATTTAAAGAAGTTATGAAAAAAGCTTTTCTGCCAGAGAAAGTAGATTGTGAGCTATTCCCTCACATGCAAGGACAGGTTGCTTAAAACACTAAAAATACTCAGGGACTGCAGTAAACTTTTCTCTATCTTGTAGTTATTGAGCCATTCATTAGGCTTCATGGTATCAAGATTTTCTTCTACAACAGTGAATGTTTATTGACTAATAGAAAAGCAGAGTTATTTCCAGTTGAAATTATGATACAGTCATAAAGCTGTATGAGTTGAAGCTTTAAGAAAAGCATTTAGAGTCCCAAGGTTCATGAGAAGATTGCAAAACTGGCAACACTGAAAATTAATGAAAGTAACTAAGGAGATTGCAGGAATGAATGCAAAGGGAAAAGGCTCCCCTCATGAGAAACTAAGGGTTGTGGAAGTCAGAAGGAAGAGACAGTTAGCGCAGAGACTTTTCTGGAAAGGTAATGGTTTGGGCTGGGCAGGCTACTAAAGAACAAAAGAAGCAAAAGGAGGGAAAGACGCTGGAACAGAGGAAGATTTAGACGAGGAGATTTAAAAAGCATGAGAGTTGTTGTGAGGAAAAAGGGCATGAAGCAAGAACAATGCACGTTCTTCACCATGCTCCAAGGACAGTCTTGACTGATGAAACATTCATCCCCAGAGATGTATCCACATTGCTCCGTCAGTTTTTGCTGACTGCCATTTATGTGCACCATGCCATAATTCGGTAAGTCGGTTCGTCATGTTATTACTGTTCCACTATCAGCTGCATCCCTACACAACGGCCACCAGTCTCTATTTACCTGCCCCTGTGTACTTAAATATTGCTTTAAATGTTCAGTGTAATCATAGATTTGCTTCATCTTGGAGATTGGCAGCCGACTGCCTCATAAGAAAATATTGCCCTTTCTATATTGAACATAAAGGCTACTTTCGATTGTCTACAGTGATATTAGTGATACTTAGTCTAACTTTTTAGGAGAGTTTTTAGAAACAAGTCCTTTATTTCAGTTTAATAATTTCTACTGCGTGTGAGAGTTCTGGTCCAAAGCTTACAGAAATTTTATTAGTTTATGTACTTTTAATATCTCATTTGTATTTTTGGATCTGAAAATTTATTTCCTTTTTTTTTTTTTTTTACCCATAGTTGAAGCATACTGGACTTTACTCCTACAAACTTCTTTGTCCTGCTAATCAGTGAAGAGTTTACGGTGTATCATGGTGTATCATTATCACCTCTTATTCCTATATATTACCCTGTAGTTAAATAAGAGGGCCTTAAAGTATGGATGAAATTTAGCATCCATTTTAAACCCTATATCTGTAGCAATGTATTTTACTTCATTCTCTCAATTCCATCAGCACTACCATAAACAAAATTCAAAATCCAAATTAGTCTAGAATCATTTTTCTCCCTCTACTGGATGCTGATGGCCATAATACATGAAAAACATAATTTGGGTAGAGTTATGTTAAATGCATATACGTTTTAAATTTCATCTCTATAAATCAGGATACACGATCTACCTTTTTTGGTCTTGGATCTTTACACTAGTTTGAGTGGCTAAATCAAGCCTGTGGCATCTGTCATATGCTGTTTGTCACTCATCAAATATTGCGTTTATATTTGCAACTAATAAAGTTGGCAAAATCTTGGATGTTAAAATTATAATTATGGTTAAACCTACAGGCCAATGATGTATAGCTGTAAAAAACATAATGAAGAGAGGGTCGTTCTTTCAACAAATTTATGGGAAACTGCTTGTTACAAGTTTTTGTCATTATAAAAAACAGAGCTGGAACACGGCGATACTGAGTTGTGATTAAATGTAAACCATCTGGTGCTAAAGATGTTAATTTTACAGCACTTGAGAAACAAGTGAACAAGGTAAGTGTACTTCTCATAACAAACGGGGTGTTATTTTGGTTTTAAAACAATCCTTTGAATTATTATCTCCTAATCAAAGATTAAAACGCAAGAGCTCCTAAATGTCTGATCGCTCACTTCAAAGAGTTAACAGATTAAAAGATGTGTTTTCACTTTATAAAAACGTAGGCGATTTGTGTTTGTTACTCCAGTTTCAACAGCATTTTGATTTGTTTTTCTTTCCTGCTTGAGGGCCCAACCTCCCTCCCAGCCAAATCAA